AAAAAAAAAAAAAAAGCAGTCCTGTGTGGTGGTCTCCAATAGGTTCTTCACAATGGTATAAAGGTCATATCAAAGTGTGGGCAAAGGGTTTGTTTGTGTTTTTATAGAGGATCAAAGCCTAATTTGGCTACCCAGAAGGCAAAATAAGATATGATATGAAGAAGAACTTCCAACATCAACATCCTCTGGAAGAGTCATTCCAGAAGATGACTCTCAAAAAACTTCAACAAAGATCCTGGCGCTGTTGGAGTTGTAGCTGCATTCATCCCACCAGTGCCTGGACTTGCCATTGGAGTGGAGAAGGAGGTATCTAAGCTGGCCTGTCCATACAGTAAAACAACAAATTTGACTGGATCTATACTGTCGGAACTCAACCAAGAATTAGGAGAAGTGCAAGTTGCAGTGCTTCAAAATCGTGCTACTGTATCTATTGTTAAAAGAACATGGGATGTGAACAGTTTCCAGGAATGTGTTATTTTAATTTGTCTGATTTTTCTTAAACTATTCAATATCAGACAATATCCATCATATTATTGATAAGTTTTCACAAATGCCTGGGTTACCTAACTGGTTTTCTTGGTTTCACTGGATATGGCTGGTAATTGTGGGTCTGCTTTTGTTATGTATCTGTATTCCTATTCTGTTAATGTGTGTATGCATTTTATGTAGTAGTTTGTTAAAACCTATACATGCTTATGTTACTCTACAAGAAGTTATGTCAAAGAAATAATCAATCTTCTCATGTTTTCTTCCGTCTGCTACTTCTATAGCTTTTCTTCTTCCTTCCTAATTACAGCCCTTTAGTAGAATTCATGCCTGATATTTAAAATTACTGAGTATCATAATTCTTCCAAGCAGTGAAGATACCTCAAGACAAGCGCTGGGCATAGAAGCCACAGGGCATAAATCTGCAAAAAAGTAAAACGCTAACCTTTTCAAAGAATATTACTTCTCTCTCACTTACCAAATTTACATTTCCCTGTATGGCCCCGGAAGATGACTGGTTAGCCAGAGACGGGTAAGTTTCCTCAAGGGAGGAACAACCTGAGACAGGCACAGTCGCAGGGGGGCCATCAGGTGAGAAATTGGGGGTCAACAGAGGTGAGTCTTAGAACCTCACCCCCCCTGTTTTGAGAGAAATCTTCTACATCCGTGGATGTTTTGTTGCCCTTGTCTAGCTTGGATTAATACTTAGGCTATAGGCACAGACCTGATCATCTACCCTTGCCTTCTTATAGCACTAACTTAAGCTTTCTATTTTTATCTTACATCTACCTACCACTTCAGCATTTTATTTAAAAAAAAAAAACATTAGGGAAAAATGTGGGATTCACATATAAATCAAGTATAAAAATCAAATGAATAATCACATCTGGCTTGATTATTTATAGTTCATGATGTGTGATCAAAACCAAAAGTTTCTGTGATGACTGCCCTTGTACTGTTCACCATGTAAGAACTTGCTTGTTATGCTTCAGAAGATTGGAGACTGTTGAGAGTTAGGCTTGGGGTCGATTAATGATTGTGCATTGAGTCCCATATACAGAATTTTATTGTTGCAAACAACCATTTGATCAATAAATATGAGAGGTGCCCTCTCTCAAAAAAAAAAAAAAAGTGTTGATAGCAGAAACCCTTGTCTCATTTCTGCCCTCGGGGAGACCCTGTCAGTGCTCCGGCTGCCGTAACACAGCGCCACAGGCTGGGTGGCTTAAACAACAGAAATTTATTTTCTCACAATTCTGGAGGGTAGAAGTGCAAGGTCAAGGGGCCAAAATGATTGGTTTCTGGTGAGAGCTCTTCTGGTTTATAGACAGTCACCTTTGTACTTTGTTCTCACATAGGAGGGGCAAAATAAAGTAATCATGAAAAGCTCTTATCTAATTTTAAGATGATTAAGCAGAGACTGAGGCCCCAGAATATATGGATGCCGTTGTCACTTCTCATACAATTTATGTTTATAAAAATATTTGACAATGAAAAGTTATGTTGAAATAAACTGTGTTCTTTAGATTTCATAGGATAGCAATTAACACAAAGAGGCAACATGTAAAGTAGATTTTTCTGTTGAACTGCCTTGGTTCACACTCTAGTTCCTTCATTTATTCTGTGATCCTGGCAAGTTACCAAACCGCTCAGCCTCAGTGTCTACATTTGTAAAGAAGGGCCTAATAATACCACCTGTCTCCTGGGGTTTTAGAAAATTTAAGTGTACAGTGCTTAGCACATAGCAAGCACAATTTATTGAGGACTATCATCATTATTTTTCTTGTTAAATTGAAATACACTTGAAGGTAGAAAAATTTCTTCTGGACACAAACTACTTGAAGTTCATGAAAATACAAATAAAATAAAATAGCATTACCAAGATATTTTTTAGCATTGTTTGACCAAATTATTTTGGTTGAAATGTCTCCATTACATGTAAAAGTAGCATCAGAATACAGCTTAGATTAAAATAATTAAATACTTTAATTGACTTATGAAATAGAGCCTTGTCACATTATAAATTGTAACTTCAGTCTAAAAAGGTAGAAAACTATTGCAGTAAAGAGCTGTATTTAATATTTTGTGATCTTAAATTTTTGCATGCCAACTATATCCTTTCGAAAGTTTTACAACAGATTTTTAAATAGCAATTGTAATATGTATCTCAGTCTAAAAGCTAAAACTATGGCAGAATTATACATTTTTTTAAACGGTTAAAAGAGACAGTTCTGTCCTGAGAGGGTGGTCAAAGAACTTGTTACTAAAGCCTATGATTTAGGTGATTGTTGCTAGATATTTGACTGGCAGAGTTTCCTTGGAGAGTTTGTATCACCCCACTTCTTCTATCAGATAAAATAAGACATCAAATATTTTAAAATATTGTGCTGAGACATGCAGAGGGACATGTTGCTATTTATAATACTTTGGATTTCTGTTAATTCACAGGTAAATTGCTAGTCTAAAGAAGTGAACTTTAGAAGTTTAAACAAGGCAAATTGAAAAACTTCCCAAACCAACTTAAAATATTGCAAATATTTTTTCTTTGTCTATTGGATGATTCATAAACATATTGCTGTTCAAATTTCTGAAGCATTGCAATGTTTGTATTAGCCAAATACATACATCATAATTACTGTTTATTTTTGTAAAGGTTCAGAGGTCCAAAGAGATGACATCCTGTGGATAGCCATGGCAGGGACTCATCAGATATGGGCACTCCTGTTGGACTGTGGCAGACTACCAAAGAAAAAGTAAATGGCAGCACCTCTCTTTGGGTAAACTGCGTGATTAGAGTTCACAGAATTCCCTTTCCCAACGTCACCATCCTCCCCACACTCACTGTGCTAGTCAGGGTATGCTGGGCTATCCCATCATAACAACCAACCCAGATCCTTGGTGGCTGAAGACAAGGTTTGTTCTTTCTCCTCACATAGGTTGCCTGGGGAGCACGCCTCTGCCACCAAGCTTATGAAGCAGCCCCCATCAGGAGCTTTGCTAGTCCTCCTGGTAGAGAGTGGGGGCGAGTGAGTGGCTGCTCAAGCTTCTCCTCGGAAGTGACATGCATCACTTCCACCTATTTCATCAGCTAAAGTAGGAGCCTGGGAAGAGCAATCCTACCAAGCTCCAGAAAGAGAACTGGAAATATTTGGTGGGGACTCACCTTTTAACACGTACTTTAAATATTTGAGTATTGCATAGCCGAGTGGTTAATAGCTCAGGTTTTGTAGTCAGGACTAAGATTGAATCCTGGCTTAGCTGCTTATCTTTGTGAGCTTAGAGAACCACTTTAATTTTCTGAGCCTCAGCTTCCTTATTTATGTCCACCTCGTACACTAGTTTTGAGAATTAATATGTATGAATTGCTCAGTCTAGTGCCTGGCATATACAGATGTGGGTAGCTTTGCTGTCACTATTGCGGATCTGAAGATGAAAAAGTAGTGTCTGTACAGTTTATGTCTTTTCTATAGAGCATTTTTCTCCCTAACACCCCAGGCAGAGTTGACCGTACTCTTCTCTGTGACCACACTATACTCGTATGTACTTATATTACTGCACTGATAAAGTTGGTTCTGTCTCCCCCCAGTCCCTCCCTCCCTTCCTTCTTCCCCCTTTTTCTTTCTCTCTCTCCCCTTCTGTTTTTGGTTGCACTTACTTGGTTATATAACTATAAGCTCCTATTAGATTACCTCTTAAAGAGCCTTTCTCTCTCATTTTATGTCCCCTATGCCTAACCCTGTATCTGATACATAATAGGAGCTCAGTAAGGATTTGCAGAATAAATACATTAGTGAAAGTCACAGATCTTAAAGACTGTCAGATCACCAGAGAAAGTAAATGTCAGTCATCTTAGTTAACCTTGATCAGTAGAAAGAAGGTTATACAGATAATCCAAGATATCAGGTATTCTGGATACTATGTATTTGGGTGTGTGTTGCTTTGTATGATGTTTTAAACATTTTATCATGTATGATATATATTTATATATTTATATAATATATATTTTATATGATAATACATACATACATACATATATGTATATAGTACTGCAGGAAACTCCTTTTTAAAACTGTTAAGATTCCTTGCAGTAATTACCTTTTGACATATATGTCCTACATATGAGTTACACATGTATTCTCTATTTTTATGAGTACCTTTAATAAGTAGCCATGTTTTGTACATTCTGTATCCCTTTGCCTCCACTAATTAGCATGGGGGACATGCCAACCATTAAGTGATTGATGATCATTTTAGACTTTTGCATGTTGTGCTGGTTTGGAAGTGATATACATATATATATATATATACACATACATATATATGTATGTGTATATCTATATATCTAGTCTCTTTTTTGTATCCTAAGTCAACTTATTCCCTTTCCTCAACACAAGACACTACTTATGTCCTCTTTACAATCCCTCTGGCATAAACTTAGAAACCAAGATGTAAGACTTTCTCTGCATTAAAGGAATCATTGCAATAGTCCTTTAAATACAAACTTCCCTAGTGTATATAAGAAATTAATTTGTACAGCTGATTAAAGCAGCATAATCATCCTGCTTCATTTTCTTTAAATGGGTACAGTTTGACCTGGCTATCTTTCAAAAATGATTAATTCCTTTTACTGGTCTCTATTCATATACCTGAAAACAAACATTTTTAAGGAAAATTTAAGCTTTAAACTATCAAGAATAACATAGTCCTCTAAACTCCCTTTCAAAACCTAATACTGCATGAAGCTAAGAAATGGTCCAGAAGTTAAGGTAGGATCCAGCTGTACCTACCTCTGACCATTTGAAAAAAAAAAAAAACTACCTTTCAATGATATGATCATTATTCTTGTGAATCTTATAATTCGAACCTTGTCAGAAGTTTCCCATCTGGCCATTGAGAATAGTTTCAATTTTGTGTATGTCAAAAAAAGAGGGTAGAAAGTTCCCTATGCAGTGGATAAATAATTTAATTACTAGAAAAGCTATAGTGAAAACTGACTTGACAACTTAACAAAGCCAAGATCATTAGATTTTTTTTTACAATGCTTATCACCATTGATGTAATCATTTTCATTGGTTTGTTTTATAACTAAATTGGGTACAATGTAACAATGTTGAATTCACCTACAAACTTGTCCTTTTCAGTGAGTTAAAAAAAGGAACCTGCCTTCGGTTTGCTGGAAGTGGAAATGAAGAGAATCGCAATAATGCATATCCTCACAAGGCAGGTTTTGCCCAACCTTCGGGTCTGACTCTGGCCTCCGAGGAACCCTGGAACTGCCTGTTTGTAGCAGACAGTGAGAGCAGCACAGTGAGAACCGTCTCGCTGAAAGACGGAGCAGTGAAGCACCTTGTAGGAGGAGAACGGGACCCCACGGTAATGAAGATCGCTTTTGCGTGATTGCTCAGACACTTTACCAAGCTTGCAGTTTTTTAAATTGTGAAAAGATAAAATTTAGGAGATAAAGTTCTTCCCTTATTCATAAATTAAAATGGCAGTCAAACCAAAGGAAATGTGAATATAGAGAGACACAAGTTTAACACAACTATCTAAGAAAAGTAAACTTTACTTGATTACACATAAATGTCAGGGCTTCAGGGAGAAAGGACGGATAAAACATTGATAACCAAGAGAAAAGAAAAATGTAAATTAGATTTGGCAGTAGGGCACAAAGGGCACTAGATTAGTTCACTTGACCTGTTTCTGACTAGATGTGTGATTATTGTGAATAAAACTACCATGTACCACAAATACGGGTTCAAATTTCTATTATTTTTTACAGTCTTAATCAAATACCCATCCTTATTTATATGAAATCAAACCTTTTCCCTTTTAAGTAGCGTATACAGATATCCTAAATTTCACTTTCTATCCTAACAAAGCACTGTAAAAATTTAATATATGCTGTTTCTTTCTTTTAAAAAAAATAAAAGAATTTATTTGCTTTTGGTGATGTTGATGGAGTGGGAATCAATGCAAAGCTTCAGCACCCACTTGGAGTAACTTGGGACAGAAAGAGGAATTTACTTTACGTGGCAGACTCTTACAATCACAAGGTGGGTCTTGACAGTTATAATACCCTGCATTTCCTCTGTGATATTTAAAGTGCTGAAAAATCCGTGAGCCTCCTACAGCTGCCACTCTGAAATACAGAGGAGTAAGTCTTTGACAACTAATTATATGTAAGTTGTTCTGTTCTGGGTCCTTTCTTTGCAGAGAGCATACAATGGCACTCTCAGCTGGGGAAAGGACTAAACAAAGTCCCAATGGCTATTGCCAAAAATGGGGAATTGCAGCCCATCAAAGCTACTTATAACATAGTAAATAAGGTGGCAGGTAGCAGGGAAATTAATGTGTCAACTAAGAAAGATTCATTTTTGAACTGTTACAATGCCTATTAGCAAATAATTCCATTTTTTTCTCTGCTGCATTGACTCTTCAACTGTTCCCATTTTTATTGCATTTTTTAAATTAAAAATCAGTGGAAAATAAATGTTAATACTTTGTGATGAGAGACCATAAATATAATTGAGACACAACTGGGAATCATTAGGTTTAACATAAGTAGCAGATCCTCAGCCAATATTAGATGTTCATGAGAAGAAAGTCAGTTCAGCTGTATCTCTTGTGAGGCAAAACTAACATTTACAAATTTTTAATTCAAGAAATAATTTCATCAAAGATTACTGCTAGAAGACAAGATGTACCTGGGGATTTTATATCATTTGTAGCTTTCAGAATGTAATATTCTTCCCTCAGACTGTTAATTTGAATATGTGGCTTTTTAAGAAAATATGGAAATGCTTATACTTTTTCCGAGATCTCTTAAGAACACTAATGGAAATCCTTAGTTCTCTGGCTTGCTTGATACTACATTTTACTACAAACTTGAGATTGAGCTTCAGATATATAAATTTTTGTTCTTCCTTTTTAGATTAAAGTTGTGGATCCAAAAACAAAAAACTGTACAACATTAGCAGGAACTGGAGATTCAGGAAATGTTACCAGTTGCAGTTTTACCGAATCAACTTTTAATGAACCAGGAGGCTTGTGCATTGGAGAGAATGGTCAGTTATTATATGTGGCGGACACCAATAATCACCAAATTAAAGTGATGGATTTAGAAACAAAAATGATTTCTGTGGTAAGTAAGCTTAAAGTGTAAATTAAAAGGGTACCCTTTTAAGAATGATAATGGTCCACACAGAACAGAGACACTTTTCATTAGGCCATCTCTGTCCACGGGTGAGAGTTAAATATGTAGTTGAACAGTAAATGAAAGACTTCAGAGATACCCTGTTGTTTTCAAAATAAAAATTCCATATTTGCCAAGAGGGTTTGAGAAAGATAGTAGAAATTGGAGATAATCTGATGAATTTTCAGAAAAGGAGAAAAGAAATGGACTTAAATCTATGTGTAAATGTAGAGACATACACACACTATATATACAATGTGGGCTGGGTCGTTTGGGGTTATTTTTTTAATGATCCTTAGATCAATGTGTCATCTTTGTTTCCTATGGTAGAGCCATTACCAGATGACCTTCCAAAGGAAGCTCTAGAAGCCACATTTCTCAAGGCGTTGAAAGTAACATTGGAAGAAACTGAAAAAGTTCTAATTAATTTTTAAAGATGACATAGTCTCTAATAAAAATTTTTAAACTATCTCTTGAAAAAATTTCAAGAGGTTTGTATTTCTAAAATTCTAGGAATTTCCAAAATAAGTTTTGAAGTAACACAGATAGTCATAACGTAAGTGTAATTTCTCTTGACATAGATCTGATATAAATAAATGGCATCTTCTTACAGTTGGCAAGGAAAATTATAAGGATGTATATCCAGTACATTTAAATTGATAAAGTTTTAATTTCCAGCCATCTATTAACATTGGACAGTTAACTTGTTTCATTCATAAGTATTAGTAATCTTTGCCGGGATGAAATACTTTTCTGAACCTACAAAATAATCATGAGGACGTTTAAGTAAACACATTATAATTCAAATTAGAAGGCAATTAAGTTTCATTGACATAGAACCTCATTCTTCTGCTGTAGTCTAAAAATAAGCTTTCTTACTCCACAATTACTATAAAGTACTTGTGCTTTAATAAACAGATTGTCTTATTTCGTAGCTCCCAGTCTTCAGATCTGAAAATGCTGTGGTAGATGGCCCATTCCCAGTAGAAAAACGGAAGACATTACCCAGACTACCTAAATCTGCTCAAGGCATCACACTTTCTCCAGTAGCTGCATCTCCAGGCCAGACCCTTCAGTTCAAGCTAAGACTAGACCTCCCATCAGGCACAGAGCTAACTGAAGGAGCACCCAGTTGCTGGTTTCTAACAGCTGAAGGTATGAGAATAATCTTGCAAATATTCTACAACTTCTTGATGTTTAATCTATTTTTCTCATTTGTTATGTGATACGATATTTTTACTCTGTAGCTGCACAGGATTTGAGGGAGGTTTTGTGAAAAAGTAGACCCAGCTCTAATCCCACTTCAGCAGTTTCCTTTAGTCTTTGAGATTCTTTCCTTCCTTTTGTTACAGAACAGGGTAACTTACCCAATGCTACCCAGTCATAATTACCCCCATTTGCTATTAGGCCAGTGCTTCCCGCGAAGCACATTGCTGGAGTCTCAGAATAATGGGTCTCTGAGTATTAGAACTAAAAGGCACAAAAAGACATCATCTGTCCTATAGCTCTTATTTTATAAATAAGGGGACTAACAGCTCAGAGAGAGAAAGTGATTTGTTCAAAGGCATATACTGAATTAAGTCAAAAGATGAAATTTGAATCTGCTAGTTCTTAGTGACTTTTTCATTACGCTACTCTTATCTCAAAACTAGCTGGAGTTACTAGCCATAAAAAGGAAACGTTTTTAAAAAGACATAAAATTCAAAGCCACCAATTACACATTTGGACCTTAAAAAGGTTTCTAAACCTTACTGTCAGATTCTGTGCTTAACTCATCATGGTTTGTGGACCAGCACCAGTCCATGGTGTGCGCTTTGAGGGGCACTGTTCTGGGGCACTAGGACATACAGAGATCAAGGAGACGCAGGCGATACGTAGCTTGGACAGTAAGTGAAGAGTGAAGACTGAAGTGAACAAGCGAGTAAGAGTAAAACCAAGCAAGTAGTTTCCTGGAGCCAATGTTTTAAGTTGGAGAGGGTGATCAGCTGTGTCAATATTGATAAGGTAAGAGAAGGCCTAAGAATTGATCATTGATTTCACTTTATAGAGTTCATTAATGTCCTTGACCAGAGCCATTTCAGGGTGATGAAGGATGCCTGATTAAAGCAGGTTAAAAAAGGGAGAGGGACTGGAGAAAATAAATATAGGCGACACTTTCAGGAGTTTAGCTGAAAAGAAAATAGAGCAGTTGCTAGAAGGGGGAAATGGAATTGAGAGAACAACATGTTTGTATTATTGATGGCAGAGACCTAATAGGGAAAAGAATGGATGATACGGTGGAGGTGGGTCTCCTTTAGGATGAGAGGGGATGGGACCTGGTGCACAGTCCTTTGCCAAGGATGTGGACATTTCCATGGTAAGAGAGAGGGCCCAGGTGTGGCCCAGTGGTCTAGGTGGGGAACTACGGAGGGTGGACTTCTGGGAGCTCTTTCCTGGGTGCTTGTGTCATCAGCTGGGGGTAATGAGAGCGAGGGGGTAAGGCTCTGGAGGTTTGAAGAGAGAAGAGTGTCATCCGGGGGCTGGGATAGTGACTAGACATGAAAATGTGGAAGTGTGTGTGTGCTGTGATTGCTGAGCATCCAGAAGGCTCCGCTTGAGGCTGCTGTCCTGAATTTAAAGTTGGCCTAGTCCATGTGAGGGCTGTTTTTGTTCATCCAGGTGTGGCCACAAGGCTGCAGACCGTGCAGGTGGAGTACTGCTATACTGGCTGAGTGGTGTTGATTAGCAGGTCTGCTGTAGTGCCAGGTAATGAATGACCCATCAACTTAGGTCTAGGAGTCCTGACCCAGTATTAATTGTGTCCACCCTCCGGTAATACGGTGATTAACATCTCAGATTCTATTCTGAAGAATTAAATTGATTTTCCCCTTCAGTAGGATATTTTTTAAAAGCACATGCCTTCTTTTAGCAGAAGTAACTTGACACAGGCTCTTTCCAATTCAGTTGATTGTTTATCTTTTCCAGAGAGTGTCCAGCAAAAGCTTTAGAGCTTTCACCTGCTGTTCATCTTATTTCAGAAGTATGATTAACCTGATTTACAAGTTACTAGGCCTGAAGCTGCATTTTCCTCTTTAGAGATGCTGGAGGTAACATTTGACCCCCTTACTCGCTTACTACAAGAAAATGGGTGCCAAAACTGTATCTTAAAAGTGTGCCATTCAAGTAGAAGAATAAAGCCTTGTTGGAGGATATGTCATTGAACATAAATGAAATACTGTGATCAGAATCCAGACAGAGCCTTTGTCCTCACTCACTAATTTGTAATCTTTTAATCTAAAAACACTTCCTGTTTTGAGTCTATTCTCAAAGTTACTGTAAATCATGTAAAGATGTGCATGTGTGTTTGAATCAAGAATGCAAAGTGACTTCACTAATTTATAGTAAGGAATCGTACACTGCTTGCCTTACAGCAGTGCTTTCCAGCATCTCAGGGTAGACAGCAGTTCTAAGGGAGCATCCGGTGCTTTGCCTAAGGATCCCCCTCCGTCCTGGCCTCCCGCACTCTTGCTCACACTCTCCGCAGGCTTCCGTTTCCTCGCCGACTGCCCCTACCTCGTGCCCTCTCACACATTGCTCTTCTGTACATTACCCAGATCCAGGCTTTATGCTTTCTTACCTTGGTACATTCTCAGGGCAGAGGCGCTGTACTGAAACTACTCACTTGGTATCCAGAGAGAACAGAGAAATCTTGGTGGACTAGCCAGGAGGAACTGCTGGATTACGGTTTGCAAGGCTGGCTGGGGTGATTGATTGAGCTTGTGGAAGACCACCCTGCCTACCTCCCACAAGAGACAGGGGCAGAGCTTTCTGGACAGGAGAGTTCTCAAATGCCGGCCATTGGTCCTCAGTCCTTTATTGGTTCAGATCAAGTCCTCAGCTGCCAGCTTAACTGTCCTGCCTGTGTCCATTAGTCTGAAAGCAATTGCATCAGTTGGAGATCACTGTTGATGTAATTTCTCTGTCATGAAAGCAGTGGATTGTTTTTTAAATAGAATATTGACAGACTAGCATGTTTGTTTTAACTCTGTCAAACACACAAATTAATTTTGAATCATTGGAATACAAAATACAGATAGTATTAAAGGAAAGTGGAGTAGTCTATAAAGTCAGCTTTCATCATTTGTCCAAGATACTGGCCATGTTTGTGTTGTATGGGGTCAGATAGCTTCCAGGCAAGAATCCTAGTAATTTAAGGGTTTTGAAAATTATTTTCTAGGTTACATTTCCACACTTAAGATTAAAGGACATTTTTTCTTCTTGGCCAATTCTTCATAGACACACACTTTTAACTAAACTTAGGTCTGTGTAATCTTAAGGATGTCAGCAATGTGAAAATTGTAAGCTTAAAAAAAGGCATTATAAATGCATTATTAGCATATTTCACAAATCCCACATGTGATGTATCTGAAAAATATCTAAAGCATTTGCTGTGTTTTATTTCTAGAATTAGACATTAAAATAACACATTATTATTTTTCTCTTTGATTTAAAAGACAAGTTCTTCACTAATCTAACTAGCAAAATCAAACATTAAATAAACATACTCAAATCCAGAAATAAGCAAGGGCCAAAGAATTTTGAAGAGAACTTTAAAAGAATTGTTTAAAAAGCTCGGCACTTAACTCTAGATTCTCCACCTTTCATCTACTCCTTAGTCATGTTTGAAAAATCAAGTGTGAGAAAATTACGTCAGTCAACAGAATATTAGAAGTAGTAAACTAAAGAAGAGGTGGAGAAAACCAGTGGAGGCAGGTGCTCTGAGTCTGTCAACTCATCCTGAGGTCAGAAAAGCCAAAAAGTAGATACAGAATTTCATCACTACTCAATAGACAGTCCTGTTTTTGTACAGCTGGCCTCTGGTCATTGATGAGTCATTAGATTAAGTTCCAGGTACAGTTGACCGGTGAACAACATGGTTTTGAAGTGTACAGATCTTTTAATCTTTTAATCTAAAAACACTTCCTGTTTGGATCTATTCTCAAAGTTACTGTAAATTATGTAAAGATGTGCATGTGTTTGAATCAAGAATGCAAAGTGACTTCACTAATTTATAGTAAGGAGTCATATACTGGATTGGATTTTCTTAATAAATGCATTGGAAAATTTTTTAGAGATTTGTGATAGTTTGAAAAAGACAAACCACATAGCCTAAAGTATCACAAAAATGAAGAAAAAATTAGGTATGTCATGGATGCATAAAAATTCATGTAGACACTAGGCTATTTTATCATTTACTACCATAAAATCAACAGTTGGCTCTTAATAGTTTAATTTTGGGAGAGTCAAGAAATACGTGAATTTTTGACTGTGCAGGAGTCAGCACACTGTTGAAGAGTCAACTGTCCTCTGTTTAAGGCGGATGCATGTCCTGCATTTCCCAAATGCTGGCTCTTGACATCTAATCCCTCTGAAGCTGAGTGTCAGTGTGAGCACGTGCTTCCTCAGTGTGACACGTGTGTTCCTTCTGAGAAGATACACTGGATTAATAAAGATACTTAAAATATTTTAATACTAAAAGGTTTAAAGATTTCTAGTGATTTATTGGACTTTTCTTCCTTAGATAATCTATGTTTTTAAGTCTCGGAAGTCTTATGTATTAAAATGAGATAGACAAAATTTCTTAGTTTTTACATTGAGTCTGCCAGAATAATATATACAGTGTTAGTTGTTGCTATAAAAATTTATATTTTAGATATTCAGTAATTCAGCATTATCTTAACTTGAATTTCACTGCAAAGTTTATACATACACTTTTGTATCCTTAGATTGTTTTGTAGTTTTCATCTTATATTCCTGAGCACTTTATGGTAAAATGATTTGTTTTCTGAAGCATCCTTTATTTATTTCTAGAACTTAAAAGGTTTCGTTTTTAACTTCAGATATTAAGGATCATAACCATATTTGCAACATTCAGCTTGATTTCAGTAGAAATAAATTTATTTTACAGTGTTCAAAGGAAGAATTACAATAATTTGATATAAAGATCATTAGACTGGGGTCTTCTCCTGAGTGGTCATTATACCTTATGTGTGTTTATTCCTTCACACAGAGCATAATGCCTGGCACTTCAGTGGCTTTCAGTTAAAATTTGTTGATTGAATAAATCTGATTTCCTACTTCTTATACAGTCCGAATAATTTACCTTTTTATTTTCTAGGCAATGAATGGCTTCTTCAGGGACAGACACAGTCTGGAGAAATAGAAAGCATTTCCAATCAACCAACAATCTCACTGCAGATTCCTGGAGATTGCTTATCACTTGAAGCTGTTATATCTATCAGAGTGTTTCTTTATTACTGTAGTGCAGACAGCAGTGCTTGTATGATGAAGGGAATTTTGTTCAGTCAGCCTTTACAAATAACTGATATACAAAAAGATTGCATAGCTCCAGTAGAGCTCAAGTATGTATTTTAGCAAGTTAGTTAGCAACCCATTCACCACAGCCACCTGTTTTCCATCCTTGTCATCACTGTAACTTAGGGAAAGAAGTTTTATTTCTGCCTCTGGATACCAAGAACCCATTGCTCAGCTCTAACAACTGATACTAAAATACTGCTATGCTCCTTATTTAATTATTTATTATAAACAAATTCCTTCATTCTGGCTGTGTACCAGCTGAGTCACTGACTATCATTGGAACCATGATTTTATAATCTGTGCCTCTGTTTTGCATAAGATTTAAGTCTCCACTATAGTAGAGAATGTTATCATAAGATAATTTGCAGTGAACACTGATAACAATAATCATACCAAATATTTTAACTTTTTCTACCTTTATTAATAGCAAACAGCACATTTAATGTGTAAATTTCACAAGACAAAAAAATAGTCTTTACATCATAAAAGCTTAAAGAGTGGTAAGCTCTTAAGCTCATTTACCTGGGTAGTAAATATGTTCTCTTCTATGCTTTTCTTAGTTGAGATACATTTAAAGGAGAATTTTCATCTATTTTTATTAAAAATTATTTGCTATTTTAACATACCATTATTAATGCCTTATAACTTTATACAGGAAAAGTATGTCTAACGACATACATATTCACTCCTTTTTTGTGAATGAGCAGTTTAACCAGATAATGAATGAGTCCCCCAGATATACTTCCAAGGAGAAAGAGATTTAGGAACAAATTACTACCTGTGATACTTACAATGATAATTTTAACAGCTAAATCTGATGTAAGTAGGTGTATATTGTCTTAGAAATTTATTTTCACTTGTAAGCTTTAGATTTGTTGGGTTTTGGTTTTTTTGGTTCCCATATCCAGAATTTAAATTATGCTCTTTTATTTATGTTTTAAAGGTCATGCTTAAGCCTTCAAAGTGAAAATTTCAGTGTGAAGCACTTTCATGCTATTAATATGTATAGTATATCCTAATATATTACTCTGTAAAATGTTAAGGCTGAAATGTACAGTGATTTGATGACACTGTTTTGGGGGTTTTTTTAACCCCAAAGAAAGAATCACTAGAAAATACTGAAAGTTGTTTTTTATCATAACTCTTCTTTATAACTTTTTAAAAGCCTATTCTTATTTTTACTAAAACTGATTCGACATGTTCATGATTTAATGAGCTTACAAGATTTTAAAAATATCAGGTGCACCATATTTATTTATCCAGTAAATATTTACAGACAATATGGCATAATATACTTCCCCTTCTTCAAAAACAGTGCTAAGTTTGAAGTATAATCTTTTGTGTACCATCATCTGCCCATTTCTTTACTTTTTGAAATATCATTTTAAACATTCTCTTCTTTTATTCAGGTTACCTGAATCTCTAAGTAAGGAAATGCATAGATCATGACTTTAAATTTGTGACCTGCTAAAGCTACTTTTAAAAAAAGTATAAACAAGTTAAAAGGAATCCTGTTCCTTTTTTCTCCACAAAAAAAAATATGTTGTTCTGTAAAAGGACATAAAGAGTTAATAATTTTTTATGGAGGACAGGCCAAAGTCATTTTTTTAATCTCATTTGATCTATTGTACTTCTCATTTCCAGTTGGACATGAGGAGAATATTTTGGCTTACTCTTTGCCTGCTTAAGTACATAAAGAGTTTCACTCTCTAAAAGCAGCATACATAGTTTTAACTTGCTAACTTATCCAATAATACACACTGTATGCATTTTTTAGTATTACATTGAAAAATTAATTATGTATTTTCATGTACATAAAAATCCAAAAATATTTCTTAGAATCTATCAGTGTTCTTATTGTCTAGACAGAGTTTTAGGTTAGTATTAACTTATACTTTTCTTGGCTTTCAAAGTACAGTTTCATAGAACATTCTTATTCCTACTAAGCCATCGGTCTGCATTGTTTTTTACATTAAAAATATTGTTTATATGGATTAGTGTGATTTTTTGCAAATCATACTAAAGCAACATAAATGGGTTCCTAGAATTTATGACTAACACAAACCTCTTATGTAAGAAGCACTAGAAAGTTGATTTTTAAAAACTTCTTGATCCATGTTAGCCTTCTGTTTTATATAAGAGCTTATATTTTAACTTCTGCTTTCCTGACATAACTTATTATGTCCAGTGATAATTTAAAAAGAGTAAGATTTTAGTGTGGGTTACCTTAAAGTGCCAGTAATGTGGCATTACACCCACTTTGACATAATATCTGGAATCTTTGCCCTAAATTATTCTGCTCATTTGTCACTATTTTTTCCACTACTCTGTGATATCACTTCACAAATGATAGAATTTTTTTCAGAATTTATACTCAGGATTGATATGCTCCCTGAAAGGAATTTTGCTCATCTTAATATGCTATTTCAAGCAAATATTTAACTTCTTCACAAGGGAAAACTTTACAGTTTAATCACCCATAAGGGTAATTTTGGCAAAGTTCAATGACTACAGAACAGTTTTCTCCTTAAGCTCTTATATAGTTAGAGCATTATTGGGCCTGCAGAAAGCTGTAAGTCTTAACATAGCCCCTCAAAAAGTTGAATTTGTGGATGTATACATGTTTGTGTTTTATATGTACACAAAAATCAACTCGAACATCTCACGTAAATTCTCCTATGACCAATGTACTTTTGAGCTAATACCACTGACATAAGTTACTCTCAGCTTGTTTTTCCATAATTGAAAAACTGGGGAAGATATTGAATATACATATCTCTATAATATAATAATTTTCTGTCTGTACAAAATATTACTATTAGTTTATATCTGCCAATTAAAAAGACTTCAGTCTAACCATTATATGTGACACCATGTTGAGGAACAATCACGAAAAACTAAATTCCATAGTTAAATAACAATTGCATACAAATACATACAGAGTGACTGTCAACAGTGGCTTTCCTGAATGACAAAATTATGGATGTTTTTAATTCCTTTTTTTTTTTCAGTGAGCAACTGAATGTGTGTTTTTAAAGATCCTAAATGAAACTGCATTGTAAGCACTTGTTATAACTTTACTAAAGTCACCTTTATTACCAAGATCAGAACATAGGTTGGACCTTTTCATCTTCAGTTCTCTTAAGTACGTGAATAGATGGAGACAAAAGTGATTATGGCTTGTTTTTCTGGTGTTTTTATTGTGTAATGCAGTGTGATGGTTAAGAGCATGGACTTCTTGGGCACTTGGATTCTAACCACGTAAGATGGGGCTACTATACCTGTCTTACGGGGTTGATGTAAGGATTCAATGAAATAGGGTTTGTAAAGCATTTTGTAATTAATGAAACTGCTAACTATTGGCTTAATGAATAATAATGACAAATTATAACAAATAATGACATATTTTTTTGCAGCTGCAATTTCTAAAGAAAGTATTTCTCTACCAACTGATTTGTTAGCACTCCAGAGTTGGGATTCAAAAGAAATACAGTTTTCTAATAAAGCATGTTACCATTTTATAAATCATATTAATGTTAGGAACACACCTGCAGTTTCATTAATTTTTTTTAAAGACCTTCGCACCAATGAGTAATAAACTTACTTTGAAAGGGTCCAAACATACCTTAAATCACATTGCTGTAACATATTCTCATAGTGCTTTATAAAATCTTCAAAGTGCTTTCATGCATTTTGTCTCATTTGGCCTTCAAAGTAACCTATGAATGAATCAGATAAGTAGATGTTATGTCTATTTTACAAATGAGAAAACAGCTTTAGAATGTTGTTGATGTATCTCAAGATCACACAGCTCCCAGAGTAATGCCTGCTGCTAGAACTTGGGGTTCCTGGGACAAGCAGCTGCTCAGCCAATTTTGTGAAATGGCTAAAGGGTGAATGGTGACTCGTGGATCTTTTATTTGAACACATCTCTTGATTCCTACCTCTACGAGACGTAGAATGAAAACAGCTGCAGAATTAAGAGTACCTATTTACTTTTGTGAATGCTTTCTTAAGCCTTTGCAGTATTTAAAGTAGTAAGAATAGCTAAATTTACTGAGTGTTTACTATGCGACTGACACTAGTTCTAAGTGCTTTATACATATTAATTCATTTAATCCTTACGATAACCTTATGAGGGGAGGTACTATTTTTCCTTATTTCCTTGATGAGGAAAACGAGCCAAAGAAGTTAATGCAGTTCTATCAACGTAATCAAGAGAACACATTTAGTAAGTGGCCAATCCTGAATGAATTCAACCACCATGCTCTATTGCTCCTCAAAATAGTTTCTTTTGAAAACAAATCTTTCATAGTTGCATATAGTTCTTAACAGAACCCAAGGAGTCCTAGGGATGATTGTTTTTAAAATTTAAATTAAATACATTTAACTATGCTAGCTTTTTGGACTTCATTTTACACTCATCCTTCAGGGCTGTTTGCTTGAAACAGTCTCCATAATTATTGTTTCCCAAAAGATTTTTAAGTACCTTTTTTCTTAAAGTCAGAATTAATCCAGAATTTTTCTTGGCAGATATATGGATAAAGGAATTAAGTAGCTTTTCAGTGTTAGTTCCAACAATGCTATTTTAACTGGTCTTCAAAAGGTAATTACAAGACTGTGTCATAAAGTATAACTGAAGTCTTAGGACTACCTCAACCCCAAAAAAGCTTATTCATATTTAAGAAAACTTCAGTAACCAAAATGAACTCTAGAAAGATAGTATTTGGCCAGTCAGTTAACACACACAGTCCTCTACTTACTTCACAAAAAACACTGGAATGTAGACCCTGCCCCCCAGTGATTCAAATAATTCTATTATAGTAGAGTTTTACCAGGTTAACCTATCTTGCAGCTTGTGGTACTATTAAAAGGAATGAAGTAAAATGCTACATACCACTGATTATGATTCATAATCCACCAAGTACAAGAATGTAAACATCTTTTCACTGTTAGTTTTTCCAATTTAAATCAATATCGAATTTAATTTTATTATAAAATCCATAAGGAAATGTACATCAAATTAAAAGGTACTGATAATGTCATAAAGTAGAATTCACTGTCACCAATATTTCCTCCTTTTCCTCCACTTGCATATACATAGTTTATTTAAATGAAGAATTCACACCAGCCGTGAGTCACTATTTTGTATCGAATAATTAAAAGTTTGCTTTTAAAAAAATTTTCCTTGAAAGGGGGTGATATAAAGAATGGTATTAAGAGTTAGAGGTTTGACTGATGGCCTAAATGTACTCCATGACCAGCAAACCTTGGCCCATACCATCTAGACCTGCAGGTTAGACTGGCTGCGTCCAGCTTGCGGGTGGCGGGTCTGACCACAGAGCCTGGGTAAAGGGGAATGGGGGTTCAGGAGGGGCCTCCTCTGATTGCAACCCCTCCATTTCTTAGTGTGCTGGTTTGGTTTAATTATTTTCCAAGGTTAGAGATGGAAAGTGAAAACCCTAGATACTTGCTGTGGAATGTTTGCCTATTATAGTAATTAACTGGTTTGGTGTGTCCCTCTTAGCGCTGTCACTCTCAAGTGTACCAAAGGACAGCTTGTTCTGTGAAAGCCCCATTACTGAAAGGAAAGAATCACAGGTATTTTTCCAAGTATACCTCCCCGCCCATACCAGCACCCATACACTAAGCAAGCACAGAGGGGCACGAAGCCAGCACACCCTCGTGGTTTTGTAACGCCTGGCACGGTATGAATCCTCTAGGCCTGGTGTGTTTCAGTAGTACAGAGTCATGCAAAATGTCATATTTCTTTTTTTAATGTTAAGAACATGAAACTGAGTTATGTGGAGAAACAGAATTTATTACCTTTTGCTTTCAATATACTTGGTTACATATTTACATTTGAGATTAAGTGAAATGAGCCTGCATAAGACTGAGAAATAGAGGGGAAAAAAACCAAACTTTCAGATTTAAATATGCCCAGTTTAAACAGTATTTTTGATTCTTTATCTACTGTGCTATACTCAAGAGAAATAATAAGTTCAAAGTATATAGGGCAAAACAGTTGATAAATTATGGTGATGAAGAGTAAAAATAGATATATTCCTTCCTGAAAATTTAGGACTGCCATGTAAGTAGCTTCTGTTTTTAGAATTTGTAGTCATTATTCTTAGTCCCACCAGAAGTATAATCATTCTGTGAGCATGTACAGGATGGCTACCTGTTTTGTTTTTACACTACTCAAAACTCTAACAAGTTTTTGTTTGTATAGAGCTGAAATTTATTGTTTATGCATGCCTGTGATACCCATCATCTGAATTTACCTGCAAAAAATACACTCCACTTCCTCTCCACACCCTAGGCTCCTCTCTCTTTAAAAACAATAGTCATTTCTGTAGAAGTTTCAGCAAGGAACTATGGTTACACAAATAACACAGCAAAATGATTTTGTTGTGGTAAGATTTTTTTTTCTAGAATACCTAATAATATCTCACTTTTCAAAGGAGAAGAACAATACCCTCTGTGACTTTAAAATTAATTTCTCTCTACTTTGCAATATATACCTTCCTAACTATATTTTACATAGCTTAATATTTTTTGAAAGCTTGAAATACTGTCAGGGTACATTGTGGGCCAGTTTAGAAATGTTTTCATTGCTGTCATCACTTTACCTGTGGATTATGGACAAATCAGAGTTTGCTGTATGGTTGAAATATATACATAAAATCACTTTCAAATCATAATGTTTCATAAATTTGTCAGACACCCATCTTTTGTGTGGTTAAAGTTGCGGTTTTATTTCTGAGAATAGAGTTGGTCTGCTGTGGTGACCTCATATCTGTCACCCCAAAGGTTTGATTAATTATTTTTTTCTCCAAAGATAAAAATGCAATGGAAATCCTACTTACAAGTTGTAGTATTGATATTTCCATTCATAATCTAATTGTAAAAGAATTTCCTTGGTCTGCATTTTTTAACTTTCATGTAGACAGATTAATGTATTTTTTACAACGTTTTCTACATTTATTTCAAGACTACTTTCAGTGACTTTGTCAAGTGCATGCGTTAACAGAAGATGGTTTGGAGTGAAAGTGTGCCATGGCCTGCTGTACCAACTCAGAGGTGTAATATAAGTAATTATAGAAAGCAGGAACGTGTTATACTGTACACTGAAACCGAATGCCTCTTTTCTAAAACTTTGTACATTTTTTCATGAAATAGATTAAATATTTTCTCTCTAAAGCTATGTTTCTGTTTCTAACGTACTTTTTGTTTTAAGTATGTCATGAGATACTTTTACTGCTTAGAAACCTGTCAGATTGGACTTTTGAGGAAATGAGCTTAATTGAAAAAATAGATATGCAAACAAAAATTCAAAATAAAGTTATGCAATCATAATTATAATAGACCTTTTAAAAAATATTCAAAAAAGGTGGTCTATTCAATAAATGGTACTGGAAACATTTGAAAAAATGGATTTCTACTTGACACAATATACAGAATTTAAAAGGAATTATTGACAACATAAAAATTAAAAATACAAAAATGCCAGAAGAAATGAAGGAGAATATCTATAGTGTCGGGAGTGGGGATGGCATTTCTGTGAATGACCTGAAACCCAAAAGCAATCATGGGAAAGACTGATATATGTGACTAGAAAAAAATGAGAAGTTAATATGAGAAACAAAATTATTTTCAAACATAAAATTGGGCATAGAGTTAATCCAATTAATATGTGAGGGGCTCCTACGTACTGATAACAGAAAGATATCCCAGTTGGAAAACAGGTGAGGAATATGAGACTACAGTTGGCGAAGGGCACAGTGATGAAAAGGTCATCATCTCACTAAATCAAGAAATGCAAGGCCATTGATTAAGCTATTTAGTGAGCACCTCTTTTGCTCTAGTCTAGGTCCCATGATGAACATATTAGACAAGGTCCCTGCTCTAGTGCTCATGTACTTGAAAAGATAGAAAAGAACACATGCATAAACATGTTTTCTACCTTCAATTGTTGAAACATATTTCCTCACTGGAATGATATGCTACCAAGGTCTTCCAAAGCTCCATACATGCACGAATCTGTTTCTGGGTGTTAGGACCAACAGCCCCCCTCCTTGGTATGACATTACTGTATTCCAGGATCCACGAACTGGATAGTCCACAGCCGCCATGTTCATAATAGCAAAACTTGGAAATAACCATTGTGAGAAGAATGACGTTGGGGGGAACAGTCCCAGAAATATTCCACTCAGCATGATACCCTTTCCATAGAATTCTCTAAGAACATATATAGTTAAGATAGAACTATGTCAAAAAAAGAAAAACAAGGAAATGATAACCACCAAATTAAGAATGATGGTAACCTTGGCAAAGGGAAGGGGGTGGGAAGGGTGGGAGAAGGGGATTAAGGGACATTATGATTAGCACAATGTAGGGGGTCACAGGGAAGGCAGTATAGCACAGAGAAGACAAGTAGTGGCTTTATAGCATTTTACTATGCTGATAGTGACAGCAATGGGGTGTGGGGAGCAGGACTTGATAATATGGATGAATATAATAACCACAATATTGCTCATGTGAAACCTTTATAAGATTGTATATCAATAGTACCTTAATTTAAAAAAAGGAATGATGGTAACCTTAGATGGGAAAAGGTAGGGAGATGGTGTGAGGGTGATCATTAAATGTGAGTTATCAGTATCCTAGCTGGTGTGTTGGACAGTGGTTTCAGAAGGTTTTTTGAGAGCATTAAGAACCTCTTGTATCTATACTCATACGGATAAGACTATTTTGTGCACCAACATTCCATTACAAAATAAGGCAATGAGGATGGCACAGACCGGCTGCGCTGAATGGGGGCCAGGAGGACAGGGGCAATGTCAGAGGGCAGACAGCAGCCAAATTTTGATGACGTGAGCTCTAGGTTTTCAAAATGCAAGTAGAAGTCATTGAGTTTTAATGGAATTGTGTGATCCACTTTATGTTTTAAAAGATCACGCTGGCCATGTGAAAAATGGTTTATGAATGGGAAAGGGAGGGGAAAAGCAGGTAGAAAATTATTAGTGCAAGCAGTGAAGAGCTAAGTATATGGCTACAATGAAAGAAGTGGATAGAATTGATATATGTTGGAGGTAAAACCAATAGGATTCGATTTTTTTGCCCATGAAATTAGCAAGATTTAAGAAATCTTGGTAAGGGTACATGGAAATGGCCGATTTTCACATAAAGAAATATAAATTGTATACATCTCTTTCAAGGGCTATTTGGCAATATCTATTAAAATTTTAAATGCCTAAACCTTTTGACCCAGTAGTCTGCCCTTGCAGAATGTGATTCATTAGAATACTTCCGTATATGCACAAAAGTATGTCAGCATTATAATACTGAAAAACAGGAAACAGTCTAAATGTCCATCAATAGGGAACATTAAATTAATAATGGTGCAAGCTATAGCCATCAAACATACAGTGCAACCATTAAAAAGACTTTCAGGTATCTACTTGTATCCACATCAATCAAAACACAACTTTCAGAATTAATGAAACTGTCATGCTTTAAAAGATAGCTCTATAGATCTGCACATTTGCTTTCACATACCCAGCACAGTAATGCAAGATAATAGAAATGACCATGCGTGCTGAAACTATGCAGAGCAATCTTAATAATCAGAGGAAAATACGATTCTTCCAAGACCTTTAAGTGTGTTTTTGAAAATCTTAAAAAACTGTATCAATTATAAATGCATAGGAAAATGAAAAAATGCTAATATTTAGCACGCTGTAATTTAAAACATTACAAAAACTGAGAATTAAAGGTTTCATTTCTTTGTAAGGAAACTTATCAACAGCATTTGAACAGTGCTTGCTATCTTCTCATCGTAAAATTTATGATACAGAGCAAGTATCTGTTGTCTGCCCTGGCAAACTCATACACTTCACTAAATGTGGATCAGCTGCCGACATTTTAAACTTTGTCATTTCAGTGTTGTGCTGTATCTTCAAGAGTTTCTTTAATATGAAGTGTTTTGCTTAGCGTCACTTCTTCTGGGACATCATCATCCTTTTCATCGCAGCCATCTTTGCTCATGGGTGCTGATAAGTTCACCCTCACTAAGTTTCTCTGGTTGCAATCCAGTCTATCAAACAGCAACAGCATTCCCAGGGCAGCTATTTCCTCTGTAACTCCATTTACACCCAATGCAAATTTCACTTGCAGAGTTTTCAGTTTTCTTTGATGCATTTCTTGTATTTTAGGCCAATTCCCTCTTTTGTAAAGTGTCATGTGGCTCTATCACTAGGAAACAAGAAGGCACACAACTGCACACATTGCTGTCTGTGCATGAATTGAACACTGCACAGGGACCAGTCACTAAGAGACTTTGACACAAGTGACATTACTGGTCACTGCTCATGGGACACATCTGTTAGTACATAACTATTTGTAGACTGAAGAGCTAACTGAAGTTTGTACTTAGCATTATAGTTAATATCCCATGGGAAATGAAATGGCAACTGTGTTGTTGGGGGGCTTGTGTTATTTAAACCTTTGTAACCAAAATTGGACACCAGAATTGTTCTAGGTGAGGACTGCCTGCATATATAGAAAAAGCAAATAGGTAAATGGAAGGACACAACGTAGTCCTAATAACTATACAGAGTTGAATATAGTGATAGGAAGGAGGTAGCATTCATTTACTCTGTGTATTTTTGCACTGTTTGAATTTTTAAAAATTAATATCATGATTTTTTTACAGAACTGAAGTGAGGGAAAGAGTACAAATCACATCATTTGCTTAAAGGTAACCAGAAAGTAATGAGGAGATACATGAGAAGCAGCATGGAATAAATAAATGTTTGTTGGTAGGGGAAGGGGGAAGCCCATGGTTGTCTTAGACTATGTGAAAAGGAATCATGTAAAGTAAGTAGATTTGTTACCGCATGCTGTCATGTCTAAAACCAACTTTGTACCAGCTGACCCAACACTATCACTTAATAACAGAATGGCCTTAAGACAGGTACTTCATCTCCATTGACATTCGGTTTCCTCGTCTGGTAAACTAGCTATTAATACCGCATGGAATTATTTTGTGCTAATGCTGGAAAAGCACTTAGCCCAGTGACTAACAACTAGCAAATGCTCTGAACATTAAGTAATTCATGCCATGGAGAGTACTGAGTTCTCTGCCCATGAATGTCTTCCAATAGAGGTTGTAAGATAGTTGATCCAAGTATTTATCCCAGCAGGTAGCAAATAAAACCAGATGACTTCAAGTTCTGAACCATTCTAACATTCTGTGATTTGGACTGTGTATGGAAAAGTCTGTTTAGTTTTACTTCAAAATATAATTTGTTATTTATGCCTTAGGATGTTATAATATTTTTCAGAATGAAACACACCCTACAAACCATCTCCAAGTTTGGGACATTTAAAGATACACAATTTTTTTCAAGGATTCAGAAAATTATTTGAAACACTTTTCTCTAACCAAATGCAACCTGGTTCGTATAAATAATTTTGTGTAACTCCAGTCCCCAGCTACTTCAATTGCATATCTGAATTCCTCACTAGATAAGAAGCTTCAGACCGAAGAAAAGGATCTTAAGGGGGAAAAAAATGGATATCCATCCCCCTCTCTTTTTTCTTAATGAATATGTCACACAAATATCTGAAATATTCTTTACGTGTATAAAAACCTTGCTTAGGATATTTTTAAACATTCAAGAGAAGGTTTATAAAAAATCATGGGCTTTCCAACATACAGTCAGTGTGCTATTTTACAGATTTGTGACCTTGATCTTAACAGCTTCTTCTTATGTGATCTTTTTTTCATGACTCACGAATACATCTAGACATTGATGGTATTTTGTGCTCAATTCTTGTCAGTTGTCAAGGAGCAGATATAATTAAGGTAGTAGGATAACCAGAATGACAGGCAAATGCATTCCAAACCCCTGCCACCTGCAGTGTGACTTCAGTATGTGAAGCAGCCCCTCATTGGGACCCAGGGATACGTCAGTGGTGGCTAATTGTTTTCCAAGAGGCTATAAACCCCTCGAAATATATAAACAGATTGGGGGAAGGAGAGTGAAACAAGTGAAAGAGATGAAAAGGCACAAAATTCCAGTTATAATATAAATGAGTCATGGGGATGAAAGTACAGCACAGGGAGTATAGTCAAGAGCATCATGATACTTGGAATGTTGACAGATGGTAACTACACTGATATCGGGGTGAGCATTGAAT